AATGTGGAACCTTAAAATGTTGTCACTTTAGGTCTGAGACCTAACAAATGATTAGAGATGTATTATACATTGATGTCCTTGTTTCTTAACTGGACTGGTAACACATGCTATCTTGAGCCTGCCCCTCCCCCTTTGTGTCTCAAGTTGGTTAACACCTACCCATTGGCACTTCTCTAGCCCCCAGTGAGTGCAGCCACAGGAAGGTTCACCTCTGTAGGAGACCAGACAGTCCCACTCTCCAGCCTCTCTGCCAGGCACCTATACAGTGGTTTCTTCTGAGAATCTCCAGGGTCTCCGTCCTCTTTCCAGGTCCACATGTAACTTGCCACAGAGTGAGGCCAGAGGGCAGTGTAAAGAGGAGAAAGGGGAGGGAGAGCCAGGGAGGATTCATCTATTGAGAGAAGGTGGGGCAGTCTCCTGTTTCTGTACAGTGTGGCCTCCACACTGGGGGCAGTGCACCCTGCATGGCCAGCATATGGTGACACATGGTCAGTGTCAGCCTATTGTGTATACTTACAGCAGGATGTTACATTTGTGGCTTTCTAAATGCTCAACAATTCAAGCCAAAATACCGATGCAGCCTCCTGCCCAAAGCACCAACGTCCAAAGGACACTGTTGGCAGCATCACTGGTGTGTGAGTGCATTCCTGTCATTCTGGAGGTTAGGGCCCTCCAAGGAGGACATATTTACCAAGTAACTACAGAGGTGATGAGAGTCAGGGAAGGAGAAGCACAAGACACTCCTGTGGGAGGAAGGAAAGATAAGCTTCTCGTGAGTAGGTTTTGTTTCCCTGCACTGTTTCTGCCCTACAGACCTGCACCAGATTGTGAACCTTGGGGAGCTGAGCTAGCCCTTCTGGGCTGCCCATCACGAGGGCTTCTAGTGGCGCTCACCTGGGTGGTAACCCCAGCGGCAAAAGTGACTAAATGTTTCGGCCTCTTTCCTGCCCAGTCTATTTGAATTAAGGTGAATTTGCAGCTCCTCTCTAGCCCTGCAGGTTGTGTAGGGAGTGTTGTGATTCTCTCTTCCTAGAGGCTGCCAGGCTGGTTGCAGGGCGCAGTGTGCTGATGTGTTGTTAATGAGGCATTTAGCAGAAGAGAATTCCTACAACTCAAGGAAACTAGAAAGCACATTGGCCAAGCAATGGGCGTGACTCATCCACATGGCTGCACTGATAAAGGTTCTACAATCTGAGGTACAGGATCTCAGGACAAATCCTGAGGGCATTTCACTGACCTCAGACCAAAAACCTACAACTCTTGTTGCATAGGTCCTGCTTTACCTTGGTCTTAACCATCCAGTAGAAAAGTATGAAGACGAAATATAAGAAATAAAGCCATGCTGTTAAGTTGAGCTGTGGGGGACTCAGGTCAATAATTTCTGACATTGCCAGTTAAACAGAAGACCCAATGCTATTATGGGCTACTGGACTCTTTTAGAATATTTTGCTGAGTTTACACACCTATAATATTCAATAACGGAACTTAGAAAAAATGGGGTATACCGATGAATGTCCATTTTGTATCTGTGTATTCAAAGGAGGTTGGGATAGACATATAGTTGCATTCTCTTAATGAATAGAATGATTTGTTCTAATGGTGTTTGTAAATAGAATCACAAGTCCGCATCTTGTACAGCAATTAACTACTAAGAAGAATATATGCAGTGTATTATTTGTTGAAACTGTACTTCCGATTTGATTTGAAACTGTCTCATTGCTATTTATCAATAAAATTATGGGGAAAAAAATAAAAATGCAAAAAAAAAAAAAGAAACTAGAGACAAGGTGGTGAAACAGGCCATTTTATGTGCGGGGCTCAGGAATCGAGTGCGAGGGTGGGCTCGGGGTCTGAGACAAAGACACTGCCCGATGAGCTTCCCATCCCAAATTCCCGTGAGAGCAGTGGTATCCTCACTAAACTTTCTTTCAGGCTGAGCAGAACTCTTATTGTCTTCTGGAAGTTATCTGTAGTCTTCCGTGGGACAGAGGGCGACCACACAGACTCAGGGGAAAGACATTCTTAAATGTCTTTAATGTACCTCCAGGTTCCCACTGCTCCTTGGTAGATGTCTGAGGTAGGCATAGCACTTAGGAACTGTGGCAAAGGTTTGAATTCTAGGACTGTTGCTTCCAGCCCACAGTCTGTGAAGAAATGCAGCCCCGAAATCCAAAGCTGAGGCAGTGGGTGCTCAGTCCATGACCCTAGAGGCTTCAGAAGTCAATTAGGACTCCAAGGAAATGGGAAGCAGAGATGGCTATTGTGGCTCTTAGCTCTCCCTTTGTAACCAGTGGATAGTTCACAGAAACATGGGTTATATCTGTAATCAATCTGAAACAGTATTTTTTTGTTGTTGTTGTTAACCTCACAAACCCCCACTGCACATAACTGAGTGTAGGTTTTAGGAATGACAATGCTGTAAAGAGTCAATCTTACAAGATGATCACTTATTCATATATTATGTGATGTTTAAAGATAAATCCTGGATTTTGGAGTCAATGGATTTCAAGTTTGGATGTGGAGATTAAAGATCTCTTTCACAAAGGTCTCCCACCATCTCAGAGTGCAGTGACCTCACTGGGAATTAATTCTGCAGGGAAATCTTTCTGAAGACAGAAGACCTTGGGATCCCAAGAGTAGGCAGAAGACACATCTTGAAGCTGGAGTTGGGTACCACCCACATGCATCCTGAAGCTGGTCTCTTGGGTGTGAGGAGAGCGGGAAGTTGTGAGAGGGCCAGGGGAAGCCAGGGTGAGCTCACCAGCTCTCAGTGTGTGCCTTTGGGGAGGGGGCTTGCACAGCAAACTCTTGCACTGGTGGACCTCACCTTGTAGCTATGTCTTCTTTCCTGAGCATGCTCCAATACCATGGCTGCCCTTGTGTAGCTTGATTTTTCTCCCCTGTTGTCATCCATATGGCTTCAAAGGATTAATGTAGTATAATAGGAACCACATGATTTTAATGTCTTAACAGACTTAATTTCAAATCCTAGCTCTGCTACATACTTAACTAGTCATGAGATCTTGGGCAAGTTACTTGATCTCTTGTGCCTATTTATCTGTAACATGTAGATAACGATACCTGTATCTACAATATTTGGCATGAAGTATAAGTCAACACTAGGAAAGGCTTAGAACAATGTATGACAGAAGGCTACATTTTTTGTTGTTGTTGTTACAACCTTAATAAGCACCATTTACCATCAACCGAATGAAGGGAAGGAGTCTCTTCAGACATTTATACTGATTACAGCAAATGAATATGGTGGAGTGAAATATGATATAGATTTCCTGTGGTAAGCAAAACATTGGAATGATCTCTCTACCCAGAGAGGAGCAGTTAGATAAATTGCAGGGTGTGTACTAGAAGAGCCCTCTCTTTATGACACCATGTATTGTGTAACCAAATGTTTTTTGTGGTTATTCTTTGAGATTCAAAAATGGGCTTGACCCACAATGAGAAGTCCCTGGGAACAATCCCATAAGGATGAGGCGGTGGTAGAGGGGTGGGAGGAGGCAGCTCTATTTCCCTTACTCACCTCTGTTGCTTCCACCAAGTCCTCAGAGAATGGCTTGTCATGCTGAGCTCTCTGCCTGCTTTCTTCGCCATGTAGGATACCACACTGAACACTGCCCCTATTTTCTCCTCCCCAGAACACTGATACAAAGCTATGTGATCAGCTTTTACTGAAGAGTTGGGACAACACAGAGCATTTACACTAGCATCATTTTGTTGTTGTTGCTTGTTTTACAGAACTGGGGATTGAACTCAGGCCCTTATGCTTGCCAGGGAAGTGCTTATTCCACTGAGCCATCTCCCCAGCCCCTATGTAGCATCAGTTTGTAAAGGAGTCTTTTCCTAAGACTTCCTTTTAGATGCTCCTGTCTCTGGCCTTGAGCTTTCAATCTCTGCAGAGGAGGTGATCTGAGGTCAGCCTCTTTCTAGTGCCTATGGAGGATCACTTTCTAAATGATTCCATGAAAATATATTTTGAAACAAATGTAGTTTTACCTCTGCTATAGTTGGGCCTGGAATGTCTTCCAAAGCCAGCCTGTAGCACTTTGGGAAGTGGAGCAACCTTTAGAAGACAGGGTCTAGTGGAAGAAGTTAGATGACAGGGGAAGACCCTTGGAGGAATACTGGGACCCTAGCCCTTTTCTGTTTCCTGATGGCCGTGAGATGAACAGCGCCTCCATCCTGTACTCCCACCATGATGTGGTGTGTCACCACAGGCCAAAGGCAACAGAACCGAGCACTCCTGGACCGAAACCACTGAAATCAAAGCCAAAACAAACCTTTACTCTAAGTTGTCTCAGGTATCTTGTCACAGTGATATAAAGTTAGCACAGCCTGTAAGGGACCTTGGTGCAATTATAATTTTGTATATTTATATACTGGGCTACATAAACTGTGAGTGCACTTAGGGTAGGAGACTATGCCAGGCCTCTGACTCAGGAAGTGGACCAACATAGTAGTTAATAATCTGTGTGCACTGGGACTAAAATGCCTAGGTCTAACTGCTGGCTCAACTACTTACTGAGGAAATAGATTTTGGGGGAGGTTAAAATAATAGTTAATGAACTTACACTCATCTGAGGCATTCACTGGATGCTCAGTTAATGCCTGCATTAATTACTCCATTAATAACTGCTGCTGTCAGTTTGCAGTGATGAGCTCCGTACACGGTGGCCTCTGCCATTCCCAGCTGCAGAAAGCACTTCGGGGGGACTGGATATGAAGTGGAGTGACCCAGCTTCCTGCTTATACAGACAGATAAAGTATAGGCTTAGATAATTTTTTCCCTTGATGAAATTGTAGTTAAAATATCTGAACATAAAGGAAATTTTTCCTTAACTAGGCTCGGAAGAAAAGCAGACATAGTTCAACAATTTTTTTCTAAAAAATAACACAAGATGCAAAACATTTCGAGGTTTCCTTTCCCATTACTAACCACTTACCACTGGAGATATTTCTCTTCCTACATACAAAATGGACCAACACAAGTTTAAAAAGTCTTTATTTAAATTTTAGAGAAAGAACAGGTATTGCCTTATAAAGAGTTGCCTGAAAATATGAAATAGTTTATTGTCATTTATGTACTGTAAACTGACATAATTATTAAAAGAGAGAATGATGCATCTTTCCTCTTCATCCTCAGCACACTTAAATTAGCACAGATACAACATAAGGAAGAAAGCCCTCATGAAACGGCATCTCTGGTACCCTCCTCAAGTTTCAGAAATGGTGCAGCATCACTGGTCTTAGTCCAACCATAGTTGTCAACAGGATGGAAAAAGAGGCTGGAATTTCTAAGGCTAGTAGCACTTCACAGTTTTCATCAAAAACACTATTTCCCAATCATCTCCTCCATCCTGGTGACTGACCCATAAATTAGGGTTCAAAATGAATGAAAACATTTCAGGCAGTAAACATTTGCTATGAAAGCCAATCTGCTAATCTCATTCTGGGATTAGCACGCCGGAGACTACGCCAAGCCTCCTACTTGGTTTAACTCACAGTCACCAACTTCTTTGGGGACAAACACCATAACAGTGGTGTTTATTAGCCTCAACAAATGATATACTGTATTTATTCTTAGTTCTCAAGGTTAATATAATTAAGTCTTTTAATGTGTTAAATCCCCCATGCTTAAAGTTAGCTGAGAATTACATCTACTAGGTACACTGGCTAACCACGACATGATTCACAGACGAGATTAAATTTTCTAACGATACACTTTTATCAGTTTTCCCATAAGTTCTATTTATTGCACATGACAGGTAACACAGATATAATAAACTGGCAAGTTCTAGTTCTACCCAAAATAAAATTTAAGATTAGTCATTAAAAATATAAGTTAGCACAACATTCTCTTGATTTTTCAGGTAGGAGGAAATTGCATTTCTTTTTTGTGCATAGTTCTTGCTGGACTCTGGTAAAAACTTTTGGGTCCAGTTTCTGTTGCCTCAAATATTGGCCATAATCCCTGCAGGTAAGAGAAAAACAAGAACTTGCCCTTCCAAATATTGTGAGGGTAGGAATAAAAAGTTCTTCTATTTCATTCTCTTTAAATTTTCTTATTTATGGTAAAAGTTATAACTGGATTGATATTAGCAGCAAGGATTCGGATTTAAGTAAATTAGAATGACAGGAATATGGGGTGCAGAGTGGCAATGAGCTTCTATCAAGTCTGGCAATGTGCAGTCTTCCTGGACACAGCCAGCCGTGTGCAGCTAATGCAGGTCTGCAGAAGGCGACTGAGTCAGCCCATCAATATGGAGTGGAAAGAAGGCTTCCAGGGTGAAACTTTCCATGAGATCATGCTGACAGGGGGCATCGGATCATGCTCTGACACTTCAGGTTATGAACAGTAAAAGTGATTACTTGTCATTCCAAGTGGAGATTGCCCTGAAACCTTTCGATGTAGCTGTACTTGACTCTAACATGAGGCTTTTCCTGTTGTAACTTTCTCTCAAGTTTCACAACCTGAGTTTAGTAAAATGGCAAGAATCAAACAGTCATCTGAAAGTCATGAACAAGTCGAGACTTCTCTCAATGCCACAGCGGCAGTGTCTGACTGTGTCTTGATGGGTTGTGATGACTACTGAGGAACACACGCCCAGGAGAGGTCAGCCCAACAAGACCTAATCAGGGCAGTGTTTCTTTAAACGTGATAGAAAAACCAGTTTGAGTTCCAACTTCCCTGTCTGTTTCTAAGTAATGTTTATTGGGAACATTTAAGAATGACTCATATAACATCACTGCTTTCAAATACCTCCAATTTCTATTTGTTGCTAACAAGAAGACAAAGAGGTGCCAACTTTGTCCTGAAAATTTTAGTCATAAAAAAAGAAAGAAAGAAAGAAAGAAAGAAAGAAAGAAAGAAAGAAAGAAAAGCTGCTCTGAGCTATTATAAGTGTGGAAGACTTTCATTTTTGAAAAAGTAAACCCCATCCAAGAATCCCATATCAAGTTGCTACACTACAGGCACTGCAAACAATTCCTATACCTCAAGAGTGAGCCTTTCCTGTTAACTCCCAACTTGAAGATGCTGGCATCCTAGCAAAGCTGTGTCCCCGTGCTGCTCTATATGAGTTAACCCCAGAGATGCTCCTGACACCTGACTCAGTGGTCAGCAGGAAGAAATATCCACTTACTTACAGGAGGTCTAACGACTTGGGACTTATAGCGGCGAGACGGCTGCGAGCAGTCGTCTTCCCAATGTAATAGTGCTGGTCAAAGAACATGAAATCATCTACCTCAGGTCGACTTCCTTCCTCCAATTTATCGAATCCTCTCAAGGGCTTGCCAAAATCTCATTTTAAAACTTAATAAATTAATATATATATATATATATATATATGTACACACCTATTTCCCCCCAAGGCAACTCCACCAAAAACTGAAGCTCAAATGCTCACTCAACTTATTAACTTGTCACAGCAACTCTCCAATGCCTAAAGGGCCATGCACTGGCCCCCAGACAGTACAATAACAACTACCGTTATTCCTAGGAACTAATAACTGTGCCAGCAATTCAGAAAGCAGACTTCTTTGAACTCATCACTTGCCATGTTTCCTGAAATTCTACCCTGAGGAAACTCCTGCTCCCTCATCAAAAGAGATCAATTCAAGCACGATGGCAGGGAGCTGTGGGGTCAGAGAATGAGAAAGGCAAAGCTCCCTGCCGCTCATGAGCACCTCACTTCCCGGCGCCATGACTGGCGTGCTGACCGTCCAGACACTTGTCTGTGCCCCCCGACCCTCACTCACATGTTCACCCATCACAGAAGCCGTAATGTTGGTGAACATGATGTAACTGGTCTCAGAGGAGTTGGCAGGAATGAGCACAGGGAAAGCGAAGAGCTAAAGACAAGAACACCATGAGGTGGCTTGTTCTTGTGTGATTCAGTGCAAAAGAGAGAAGAGAGGCTCCACTAACAGCCACTCCGGACATCCTGAGTTTGTATCTACCATGATATGTGACAGTTCCAGCGCATTAGCAGCTTGGCAATGACCATGGCACCACCACCTGCTAGCCACAGTGACAGCCTCTTGTTGGGCTAATTCATATTACAGGACAAGAAGAAGCAGGGCCACAGAACATCCCACGAGAAGACCGCCTAGTAACCTAACAATCTTTTAGGCATTTGTTGCCTATTCTTTGATAACCAATAAAAGAACAGTTGCTAGGGAAAATAGTCTGAAAATTACCCAGGAGCCAGGTCAGAGGAGAGAGCTGCACTGACTTAAACATCTGTGTTGTGGGACAAAAGGAAGGTTCACTCAAACTCCAGGTTGCCAGGTATTAAGTGACAGCCCTCTGCCTCCAAGTTAGATTGATTCCTTGGAAAGTAACAAGCTATCTTGAGAGGCATTACTGTCTGGAGAATTAGAAATGGTCCTGGTGGCTTGCAATTTTTAGAAGCCATGCATGATTGGTTCACAGACAGAAAATGAACTGGCTGCATGTAGTCCAGGGGCTGACAGACTTTTTATTTCTTTTTTCTGCAAGGAAGCAGAGGAATTAATTGATAAGAGTATGGAACAGAGAGGGAAGAAATCTGACAGAGGCAAGTTAACTGGGGTGAAAAGCAGCATTTGCAGAATGAGTTCTGTCAGGAGACTGAAAAGTTTCAGAATAGAGGAGCAGCAGGACTCAATTTAGAAACTGAAGGCAGAGCATCAGCAAGGACACTGTTGCCTGAGACCTGTGTGTGTGAAGTCACCACGTGAAGCATAATTTGTCTACTCTGCCGAAGAAAGCAGGCAAAGTTCACTACAATGTGAGTGAGAGAGGCTCTTCCTTGAGCAACAAAAGAGTTCACTTACTGTCTTTTCATGGAACTAAAAATGATTGCCATGTTATAGGACACACTCCCTCAGCAGGAATCTCTGCTTGCCTGTCTGCATCATCTTAAGAAAAAATACCTGTCAGTTTTCAAGAGAAGAAGCTCCTGCCGTGCTTAAGTCTAAAGTTGCCTCCATGATCCTTCCATGAATTTGGTGCCATGGAGGATATGTAATGGAAAGGAGGGATCTGTCCTGTGGCCCCTGAGCATCGGTATGAGATCAGCCAAGAGATATCCGCTTGCACGCCACCACTCTGCAGCCTAGAATCCGATGATCAACAGCTGCGGCTCGCATCTTAAGCTGCAACAGCATCAAACTCTGAGTGCTTTAAGCACATGTATTAATGGCGCTGCCTCCTCTCCTGAGGCCCTCACTGAGTTTCCGCTTCCCTTCCATTCTCTCAAATTTGTGGCCCATGCTCAGATGTCCAACGCAGTTACTTGTTTACATATGAACCACAAATCCCAAGCAAAAGTAAACTTTACCAACTAGGGATATTCCTTGTTCACCCAAAGCTCCAAATAGTTTTGACTCTTTGTGGGATGTTTTTGGGTGTTCTGGTTTTCAAATTTATTTTCTCAAGCACTGTATCCAGAATAGATTTTCAGTAAAGGAAAGAGAAAACCAATCAGTGGAAACCATCTGTGTTTCTGAGGGCTATAGCTTTAAATAAAAACTTTATGAACAAGCACGATGGCAGGAAGGGGAAGTAGATCTTATTTAAACACAAATATAGAATGAAAAGCAGTTTAGAAAGGTATGGGGGGGGGATCTACACCAGGTAACACTGGAGGACGCAGGCTACATTTGCCAATGGAGAAATGTTCCCTGGCACCTAAATTCTGGCAATTTGGAAGACCAGCAGCTCCTTCTTCCTTTCTCCTCCCTGACCCAGAGTGTAAGGCAGCTCTCTTCCTGCTGCCAGGGAGACAGAAAGAAGCATTTCTCCTGCCCACTCTTCCGTCTGACAGGTCTGTTTCTGTTTTCCCAGTTCACTGCACAGCATTACTGTAATGACTTGGGGATGGTGCTGACAACGTGGGTTGCCTCTGTGGCTGCTGGAGGGGAACCAAAGAAGGTGCTGGTTTGATTCCTCTGCTGATCTCGGAGGTACGGAGGAACTGAGGAGCTTTTGATGTGGAGGATTCGGGTGTCCATCACCTGGCAGTCAATCTGCATCATCACTTCATAATCCTGCCCGTTGATCACGTTTTCTGCAGAGAGGAACATACATGGGAATAAATAAATATTCACCAGCAGGTACATTTCTGCCATAAGTTTCGATTTCAGAAGAATATGAGTGTGCTCTAAGGGTATGTATGGTTGGTACACTTTATTTTTTAAAGAAAGTACAAATTAGAATTAAAACAAAAAATTGTAAGGGGCCGGGGAGATAGCTCAGTGGAGTAAGTGCCTGCTTGGCAAGAGCAGGGTCCTGAATTCAATCCCTGGTACTGAAAAAAAAAAAAAAAAAAAAAAAAAAAAAAAAAAACACACACACACCACAAAAAATGACAAGTGATACAAAATTTCACTTAACAAAGTAGTATGAATTTCACAGTATTTGTTGTAATACATAGTGTTATCTTCCAAGCAGTTATTCATATTACCAGATATATGTATGTAAAATGTAAAAGAAACAAAGAAATGCATAAGAAATTAAGAAGAGAGGGCTGGCCAAATAGCTCAGCGGATTAAAGGCCAGCAGTTCAATCCCGGGCCTGCCAGCCATCCCTGCCCCCAGGGAAGGCTGAGACAGCAACTGAGACTGGGCGTGGTGGCGCATGCCTGTAATCCCAGCTCTTGGTAGGATGTAAACAGGTGGATCACTACAAGTCTGATCTAGTAATAAGACCCTGAAGACCCTTCCCTAAAATACAAAAAATTAAAAAAAGAAATTAAGAAGAGAAAAAGTACAAACAATTGAAAAAAGGAGACGAAACAAATTAAGGCATTAACTGCTTCTTTCCATAGACCAGTATTTTCAAGGATGAGGCAAAAGTTTGATCAGTCACTAGACAGAGGTACAGGATTGGAGCCCAGGATGGCCTGTCTCCTCCTTAGCCCCCATTCCCAGACAAGTGCCTGCCACAGAATATCTGTCTGCTACATTGTGTTTGGGATTTTAGTGCAGAGCAGAGGTAGGAATACTTCAGCCCCCTTCCTTCCCTTCAACAATGGAAAGGATTCAAATAATGGAACTTAACCAAAAAAGGGGATACAGATGAATGTCCATTTTGTATCTGTGTATTCAAAGTGGTTAGGATAGATATATGGTTACATTCTCTCAATGAATAGAGTGATTTGTTCTAATGGTGTTAGGATATCATTTCTGCATCTTGTACAGCAATTAACCACTAGGAAGAATGCATGCAATGTGTTAATTATTGAAACTGTCCTACCAATTTGATTTGAAACTGTCTCACTGCTATTTGTTTATCAATAAAATTATGGGGGGGGGGAAGCAAAGCCAAAAAAAAAAAAAAAAAACAATAGAAAGGAACAATGTCAAAAGGACCAACTGTGTGGACAGCAAGGAAACCTAGTACAAAATGAAAAGTACTAGCAGATTTCTAACATGAGCTTAAAGGGATACTACTCCCTGGCACCTGCAGAAGGAAACAGAGAAACCATGCACATTCATGCTTACTATAAATGAAGCCATCAAGAGTTAAGAAGATACACATACACAGTATACTCCTTTCTTACTTCCCAAGAGGATGAGAGCTCTTTATTTTAGGGAGAAGGCCAAATTATTTCTTGATTTGTATTCCTGGGTGGTCATTTTTGAATTTGTAGTCAATGAAACTAGAGCATAAAACTGATGAGATAATTATGAACAAGATAATATTTTCCAAATCCAGCTGAACAATCACAGCAATACAGTTAGAAGCCATGACCTTGTAAAAGTGCTGGAGAGACAACGTGGCACATGGTTTTGCATTTTCATCCATGAATTTGTAGCTGGGTGCACAGATAGTCCAGCCATATGACTTTTCTATGACCATGACATAAAGTCAGTCAATGACTTTTAAAATCTAAACATTTGATTCCTCTATGACAAAGAATTGAATTCAAAAGTAGAATTCTTTCTACTCTAATATCCTTTCTTTTTATTTTAACACAGTACATGTTGAACATAAATCTAGAGGACAAAAAATGCAAAGTCTGACATTTGGTCTTCAGATTCCATTGTTATGTCTGGGAACCCTAAGCCATAGAATGTGTCACTCAGGAAGATGGGAAGGACTTTGGGAGATCATCTAGTCTGGGCTGTCTTAAGTTGGAGTTTAATTTATAGACTTCAGGGAGTCTCATTTCCCAAAAATTACATAAAATTGAGTCTACCATATTCTAAATGTGATGCCCTGCCCCAAGAGTTAAAGTGACTACACATATCTAATAATCTATCAATCTGAAGTACGTCAAGTAGATGATAGCCTATTTTAAATACAATGGAAAACATCATACCTCCATTTCTATTGGTTGGTTATCTGTTCCAATGTTTAAAAGGGTCTCAATTTATGATGAATTTCCCACTACAAGTCTTATAAATCTCTTTTATTATAGTTGAAGCTAATTTCTTCCTTTCCTAGCCTGGCCAGAGATGAAGAAGAGCTGACTGCTGCTGCATGTTAAGTAGCCCTAGCTATTCTTTAAGGCTACTGTTAGGGAAGCTTAGCTCCATTTTCACAAGTCCTGTTTCTTTGCAATGGCTATCATATCATTTGCTTATCTTTAGAAAATTAAATTTGAATGCCTGTAAATTAATCAGTGTTTCTCACCAAAGTATTTTCCAAAATGTAGGAGATGGAAGAAAAGACACTCTGCTAATGTCATTTAGAGTCATTTCATTCAGGACATGTGACCAAGTTCAGATTTCAAGGCACCACACCAGTCATTTCCTTTTGGAACCACAGACGCTCCTCTGTGTGTGTGTGTGTGTGTGTGTGTGTATGCACGCGCACTTGTGTGTGTGTGTGTGTGTGTGTGTGTGTGTGTGCAGACACTGCAGTGTAGATGGTCAAATAATGAAAGACACATGTACCAGAAACATGCAATTCACATTACTAATGTTTACTGCTTTCCTGGATTAAATCAGAACCCAGATGACAGATAAAGATCAAGACTAGGTTCTCTAACACAGCCCAAAACACCTGCAGAAGTCATTAGGGCCCATGTGCCTATACAGTTGAAACTGATAAAGTGAAGTAAGTTCTTTGATATCTTAAAAGTCAAGGAGAGGGAAAGTCTGGGAATATAAGCTTAGAGGCTTTGAGGGACAGGTGAAGCTGCAATTTGATTCTGAAATCTGAACATTCCAGCCATGGTTGATACACCACTGCCACCTTAAACCCAACCAGGAGACCTCAGCCTAAGTCTGGTCTAGGTGGCTTGAAAATATGTTCTGTTCTTTATGCCTTTCTTCCGTAGATAGCATTCTGGGCCAAGGAGACTATTGGTATTGCGAGAAGATTCTCCAGCCAGTATGTGAACCTCTGAAGCTGAGTTCAGGAAGCCCCATCTGAGTGCTTTAATGTCTGCAGTGATGAACCCTTAGGAGTTCAAAATACACATCACCTCTACAGGATAGCTGGGGGGACTAGGGCAACACTATTTGATCCACTGTTTGCACTTCACACAGAGCTCTTTGGAGGTTTTGAGCTGAGCACTTTGAATAGTTAGTGAGGAGGTCTCTGACGAGATCTAAACTATTTCAATTAAAGGACAGACTGGGAAATAAGTCTCTTGCCCCTTGTGAGTACCCTCCTCTGGGTGCATATGTGTACACACTGTGCACCTGGGAGCAACACAGAGGCTTGCAGACTCTTTTCTAGTGGCACACAAGGCCCCTGTTACCTAAGACTTTTGAGTTCTATTAATAGGCAAACATCATGGAAAGGACAACATCTTCAATTTGCCCCTCAATGTGAATTTAAAAAAAATACTAGAATGATTTCTAATGAGGAATTAAGAACTTGAAGACTCTTCTGGCCTTAGATGGGGAGAGGAGAAAGGGCTCCTGAAGGGGACACAGGACAGGAGGGGCTACGGATGGAAGGCATAGGTCTTCACTCACTGCCAATCACAGTGAAGGCCCTATGGAGGAGAAAACATTAATGTTGTGGGTTTTCTGACAAGAGGGAAGATGGTAAATATTAGATTAGGGCGTTGAGAGCCAAAATATGTGAAAAGACTGCCAAACCAGTTTTTGCTTTTTTTTTTTTTTTTTT